GGGGCTGGTGGCCCTGCGGGGCTGGTGGCCCTGTGGGGCTGGTGGCCCTGCGGGGCTGGTGGCCCTGTGGGGCTGGTGGCCCTGCGGGGCTGGTGGCCCTGTGGGGCTGGTGGTCCTGTGGGGCTGGTGGCCCCGCTGGGCTGGTGGCCCTCGCAGCCCGGGGTGGCCGTGTCACCTGTGGCCGTGCTCCCCCAGCCTGCAGAGCGGCATGAACCTGCAGATCTGCTTCGTCAACGACAGCGGCAGCGACAAGGACAGCGACGGCGATGACAGCAGGACAGAGACCAGCCTGGACACACCCTTGTCACCCATGGTGGGTCTGGCGCCTCAGCCGCAGCAGGACAGCCCCGGGAGTCCCTGGGGAACGGTCCTGCTCAGGCTGCAGCCCCGGAGCAGCCCTTCCAGCCCTCGGGGCAGCCTGACATGCTGAGGGACACGCGAGAAACCTCCCCTGCTGCTGGGGAGTTGATGCCTTCATGTGAAGGCTTTTCCCTTTTGCCTTTCCTTTCCCATTTCCTTTCCCATTTTCCTTTCCGTTCCCATTTTCCTTCCCTTTCCCTTTCCTCTCCCATTTTCCTTTCCCATTTTCCTTTCCTCTCCCATTTTCCTTTCCTCCCCCATTTTCCTTTCCCATTTTCCTTTCCCATTTTCCTTTCCCATTTTCCTTTCCTTTCCCATTTTCCTTTCCTCCCCCATTTTCCTTTCCCATTTTCCTTTCCCATTTCCTTTCCCATTTTCCTTTCTGTTCCCATTTTCCTTCCCTTTCCCTTTCCTCTCCCATTTTCCTTTCCTCTCCCATTTTCCTTTCCTCTCCCATTTCCCATTATTTTCCTTTCCCATTTTCCTTTCTCATTATTTTCCTTTCCTGTTTTCCTTTCCTTTCCTTCATGGATCCAACGTTCCTTTTTGGATCCACCACCACAGCCCCGAGTGTTTCACCTCCAGTTTAACCTCTCCACACCTTCTGATCTGCTGGGCTCCTCTTTCCCTGTAAAGCCAAGGAGGCCAAGCTGGGAATCACTCTGATTCTTGAAGATAATCCCGTGGATTAAGATAAAAAATAAATCCACGCCTTTCACAGCTTCTGTAGGGGAAAAAAAAAAAAGCACAAAAATAGGTCAAACTTTGCTGTGGCTTCTTTGCTTCCCCAGAGCAAGCAGAGCTCGTCCTACTCGGACAGAGACACGACGGAGGAGGAGTCGGAGTCCCTGGATGACATGGATTTCCTCAGCAGGCAGAAGAAGCTCCAGGCTGAAGCCAAGATGGCCTTGGCGATGGCAAAGCCCATGGCCAAGATGCAGGTGGAGGTGGAGAAGCAGAACAGGAAGAAGTCGCCGGTAGCGGATCTCGTGAGTGGGGCCGGGGGGGAGCCCTGGGCAGCCGCAGCTCTGCTGGCCCAGCGGGGTGGGAGATGGGCAGAGGAGGGCTGGAGAAGGGGCTGGAAGGAGAAGTGGGAGCAGGGAATGAGGTGCTGGAGGTTGGTGATGCCCTGAGGTGTTCATGCTCTGAGCTGGGCCTGTTCATCCCATCTGGAGCGCTCCTGTCCCAGTCCAGGGCTGTCACCACCACCCTCACTCCCAATTCCATCAGGTATTCCTGCTCCTGCTCCACCAGGAGCCAGTTCCATCAGGTATTCCTGCTCCACTTGGAGCCAATTCCATCAGATATTCCTGCTCCACTGGGAGCCAATTCCATCAGATATTCCTGCTCCTCCACCATTGGGAGCCAAAATATTCCTGCTCCACTGGGAGCCAATTCCCTCAGATATTCCTGCTCCACTGGGAGCCAGTTCCATCAGATATTCCTGCTCCACTGGGAGCCAGTTCTGTCAGATATTCCTGCTCCACTGGGAGCC